AACTCACTATGTAGACTAGGCTGGCCTTGAACGCATGGAGATCCACCTGCCTCTGTCTCCCAAGTGCTGGGATTAAAGGCGTGCGCCACCACGCCCGGCCTGCTTATTCTTTTTTGTGATTTATATTTTTATTTATATGTGTACATTTGTTCATTTGTCTGTGATAGGTGTATGTGTGTATGGGTGCCTGCAGAGGCCAGAAGAGGGTGTTGGATCCTCTTGAAGTGGGTGCTGGGAACCAAACGTAGGTCCTTTGGAAGAGCAGCAGCAACTACTAAGGTGTTACAGCCAGTTGACCCATTTTGCCCTAACATTCAGGATCTACCTGACAGCTGGGAGTGGCTTCTCCTGAGTGGACTCTAGCTTTTAGTATGTCCTCTACTTCCTTTGTCTTTGATATCCTTTGTTATCCTTGTTAGGGCTTTTTTTTAACTCCTGTGTCATCCTTGTGGACAAAAAGGGGTTCTCAATTGAAGGACCTATTTGTGGGTCTCCATTCCATGAGTACTTCCTTTACCACATATTTTCTTTTTTAAAGAAAGGTTTGTTTTCCTTTATGTGTATGAGTGTTTTGCTTACATGTATGCATGTACACCACGTGTGCAATGCTCAAGGAGGCCAGAAGAGAGCACTGGATAAATAGGAAATGGAGTTAGTTGTGAACTGCCATGTGAGTGCTGGGAACAAAATTCAGATCCTCTGCAAGAGCAGCCAGTGCTCTTGTTAAGCCATCTCTCAGCCCCTCCCTATATCTGATGACTGAAAATGTGTCCCTAGAGCTTCTAGAAAACCCCAATTCTATGTGTGGCCCAAGGGACAACTGCGGTACCTTGGTTTTTGTTATGGTTTTTTTTTTTTTGTCTTTTTGAGACAGGATCTCCCTGTAGCCCCAGCTGTCCTGGAACTATGTGGACCAGGCTGGCCTTGAACTCACAGAGATCTGCCTGCCTCTGCCTCTGGAGTGCTGGGATTAAAGGCATGCACCACCACGCCCCGCTTTTTTGGTCTTTTTGAGACAGGGTCTCTCTGTAGCCTAGCTGGCCTGGAACTCACTGTGTAGAGACCAGGCTGGCCTTGAGCGCACAGAGATCCACCTGCCTCTGCCTCCCCAGTGGTGGGATTAAAGGCGAGCGGCACCACACCTGGTTTTACCTTGTATTTTAATGGTACAATGCCTAGAAGGCACGTATAAGGACCAGTGGCCCCTGGGATTTGAGTCCAGGCTAGGTGCCCTTTTGGGGCCAAGGTTGAAGGAAGGCACTAGACCTAGGGTCAGTGAGTTTTCAGTTGACACCCTCATCAAGTGGCTTCATATCCTTCAAAGGCACCTTTTGAGCCTTACCTGCATCATTTGGCTATGATGATGTGATCCAGTTTCCACCCAACCTAGCATTCCTTGAGGGGTTCACAGAAGAAGGGTCCACTGTGCCTATTTCATGCCATGAAGCATGGCTACCACCATGGTGGTTGAAGCGACCCAGACATGGGATTAATCAGATCTTGAAAAAAATCCTGCAGACCAGGCCTCTTTGCCAGCTGCACCCCCAACTCCAGTTTAGACTGTCAGGATATGAAGCCAACCCTGTAAATGTACATGCCTGGAGCTTACCACAGTGACCAACGTGGTTGGTTGCTGGGTTGGTTGCTTAGAGACACTGTGAGAGGCTTTGTGGAACCAATGCCCTCTGTTACAGCACAGTGCAGGGATAGTACTGGTGGGCTAGGCGGATCATCCTGGGATTAGAGAAGTTGAGGAAGGTGGAGGAGGCAGAAGAGGGGGCATAAACAACACGGTGAGCACCTTGGAAGTCAGGTCTGCGTTGTGGCTGTTTGTGAACCTCTCTTCTATTCCTATGGCTCATAGGAATCCAGGCTATGAGCCAGAGAACCGGCTGCATGTGCACCTGCCTCTGTTCTGTTCTGCTGGGGGTTCAAGTGCCAGAGCAGAATCCTACAGCCCAAGGATCTGCCTGTGTGAATGAATGGGGCCTGTGAGATCAATGCAGGCCCATGTCAAATGTGCGGCCACCCCCACGGCCCCTTTTGCTTTGCCTGTGTGACCAGAGGTGACCTTTTCCCTTTAAATTTGGGGGTTCCTGTATGGGTTTGTTGAGTGACTGCTTCCACTCCTAGATGACTTTCTAAAAGAGGGCACCCCCCCCAACAAAACTTTACTAGAATCTCAGTTTAGACTTAGAGAAGGGTGCAAACAGTAGACAAAGGCAATTGTAGCACTATTCTTCCTGTCCGTTAAAGGTAACACGGCTAGCCATTGCACCTGCACATGTATGCATACACAACACTACATAAATAAACAAATAAATAAATAATAATAAATAGCAGCCTTTATAGCCAATCCATCAGTTTCTCAGGAACCACCTGGCAGGAGGCAGTGATTTCCCTTCCATGATCACCAGCCTTTACCTGAATACCTCCAGGTGTGCCTTCCTGTCTTAGCAACATTGGACAGTTGGCTTCCACAACAGCTCCTCTGAGGTCCCAGCTAGGTTTTGTTTCCTTAGCTTTGCAGGTGACTTCCTGGCTCCTAGAAGTGTACTTTAGTGTCGCTGTCAAGTCCTGTAACAGCCAAATAGCCCTCAAACACTCTCAGTGTGAGGCTGACTTTGTGTTTCTTGGTTCTCTGAGCAACGTGCTCTCCCTGCATCCTGTTATATGCTCTTTTCAGACTCTTGTGTCCACTCCAAAACAATAAAGCTCTATCTTAAGTTACCGATATCAGTTTATCAGTTTTCCGATATCAGTTTATCAGTTTTCCTAGGTCTGGCAGCCTTTTTTTTTTTTTTTTTTTTTTTTGAGACAGGGTCTCTCTGTAGCCCCAGCTAGCTTGAACTCACTATGTATACCAGGCTGGCTTCAAACTCATAGAAATCCACCTGCCTCTGCCTCTCAAGTGCTGAGATTAAAGATGTGCACCACCAAGCCCGGCTTTCATTTTTCAATCCTCATTTAATCTTCCAGTAGTATGCCACCATTGGTCACCCTATTTTAATAACTAAATTTGACTTCTGATTTCAAATTAAAGTCTTTTGATTTCCCTCTCATCTCTTTGGTCCTCCATTTTAGTTCCTTTGCTGTCCTTTTTATTTAAAAAAATTTATTTTTTATTATATGAGTGTATTGCCTGCATGTGTATATGTGCACCCATGTCATGTCATAGAGGTCAGAAAAGGGTGTCTGATCTCCTGGAACTGGAGTTACAGCTGGTTGTTAGCCACCATGTAGGTGCTGGGAGTCAAACCCAGATCCTCTACAAGACCAGTCAGTTCTCCTAACTGCTGAGACATCTCTCCAGCCCAGCTGTCTGTCCTTTTTAAAAACTCTTAATGTTGGCTATAATACAGTCCTTGTTCTTTACATTCAAGTTCCTAATGATTTTATTCTGTTTCAGGCCATGTTAAATATGCATGACCAAAACTATTAAGTTGGTGTGCTCTCTGTGTAGTATAAGCTGTTGGACCCAAACACATAGTATTTTCATTGGGTGTCTAAAACTCATCTCAAGATTAACATGTCCAAAACTGGATTCTCAAAACTTCTTCTTTGGTGGAACTGCAGCTTCTCCAATCTCAATTGGTAGAATACACCACCTCTCCAATCGCTGAGAACAAAAAACCGAGGTAAATTTATTGAAGACTTTTCTCACACCTAACCCCTAACTTTAAATAAAACTTGCTTTGCATTTAGAATAAAGTCACTTCTCACTATACCCACAAAGACCACCCCATCTAGGCCATCAGTGTCTTATTTAATCATTTTACTAAGGCTACACATCAGATTCCATCTTTTGCTGAAAACCCACCAGTGGCTGACAATTTCCCTTAGAATAATGTACAAAATGCTAACAGGGCCTTGCAATATATGGCCCTCTGTTCTCTCTCTGACCTGCGCTATCACCTCTTTGCACAGAACTCTAAAACTTTCCTCATGTTCCACCCAAGTCCAATTATGGGACCTTTGCTCTAATGTTTCCCTCTTCCTGGAATGTTCTCTCATAGATTCATTCCTTTAACTTTCCAATCTTGGCCCCAATTTCTTCTTAGTGGTCTACTTTCTATCCCTTTTTGAATGACCCTTTAACCCTACTAACAATTTTTTTGGATACTGGGTCTCATTTCCTCCACAGTCTAGAATGGCCCAGAATCACTGTGTAGTCCAGAATAATCTAGGACTTATAACCCTACCTCAGTCCCCTATCCCCACACCTATGCCACCACACCTAGCTACAATGATCATTTAACACTCTGTGCTTATTTCAGCCACCCCGCCCAGGACTCTTCACTGATATACTCCAAATATCAACAGTAGTGGTTGGATTATAATAAGCACCCAATAAATGAGTTTTAGAATAAGCTTAGCTTGGGAAAGCATATATAAATTCAGGTTTTCTTACGTACCTACTACCTTTGTAGGTATGGGCTATCATCTCATTTTTTTTTTCTGTTCAAGTTGTCCCCTAATTTCAGTTGATTGGTTTTAGTAAAGGACAGAGAATCGAACACTTTTAGTGAGAGATAACATCTCTTTTGTTGTTGTCTCAGTCTGCCTGGAAGTCACAATGTGGACCAGGGTTCCCTTGATCTCACAGAGATCCACCTGCCTCTGCCTCCTGAGGGCTGGGATCAAAGGCGGGTGCCACCATGAAATTTAATATTGCTACTGGCCTGCTACTTCTAATCTGAATTTCTTGTACATTACTGAAAACAGAAAAAAATAAAGATGTTCTGTATCATTCCTGCCATTTTCTCTAGCACTGCAACTTGGATGGCACCATGTCTACCTTATAATATAGTATGATGCAGCCTGACCAAATGTCCTGCCTAAAAAATGAGAATACTGAGCTTTGTAGTTCATGCTTGGTACACTTTAACTTTCCAGGCCTTATATTTATGCCACATTTGAGATCCCATTTATCCCACTTTTGAATACAACATTTTTTATGTATTTGAGGAGTTTTATTGTCAATAAAAGAACTAGGACAGTATCAACAAAAGTTTTACTTTAATTATAAATACACAGGCAGAGCAGAGGTGGCATGACTGTTCTACAAAATCACCAGGGTCACAGACTCCTTTTATACTCTGCTCTACCATCCACTTGTCTACAGTGCAAGCAGGGGGAAAAGAATCAGAAAGGAAAATGGATTTTTTTTGTTGGTCTTTTTGAGACAGGGTCTCCCTGTAGCCCCAGCTGTCCTGGAACTCACTAGGTAGACCAGGCTGGCCTTGAACTCACAGAGATTCGACTGCCTCTGCACCACCACACCCAGCTAGAAAATGGATTTTTTAAATGTTCTATTCATATAAATACAATGTCTTATCTTGTTGATCTGCAAGGGAGGCTGACAGTTTTGCAGTCCAGAATTTATTAAAAGGGAAAATGGATATTGGGTAGGAGATTAGTAGTCTGATACAAACTCTCATCATTTTTTCATTGCAAAATAGCCTGTTTTTATTTTTAGTTTAGTTTAATTTTTAGTTTCAAGTTTTGAAATTTTTCCCAGATCTATTTTGACTATTTCATCATTTATAAATCATATTCTTGAAGTCAAGGTGGTGAAACGTAAATTCTAGGACTCTGTGACAAATCATACCTCTCCTAAATTCTGTGATAGTGCTCAATAACCCACTGATAAAGACCATCATGTTCTTTACAGTATAAATTTCATTTTACAATAATTAGATAGATTAAAATGAAAGCTTTCCCACATTCATAACAGTATACAATGCCTCCCAACTATAATTTGGGACAAATGTTAACAGAAGATTTCCATAAAGTTAACTGTAATCATTAAGTGCCCTCGCATGCAAATCTCTAAAACAGTTAATGAATATTGTGCCTAATATTTGTGACATGTTATGTTCAAGGCACTGTTCTAAGTGCTTTTACATCTGATAACATTATATTTCTAAGAATCTTACAAAACCCCCATTGTTCTTAGATCTTTCTTACAAATGGTTAAACCAAAGTAAAGGTTACTTATGATAAATGCCACAAAGGAAACCACCTGGTAGAACCACGTTAATGTTGACGGAGACATTTTCTATGACTAGAGACCTTTGTATATTCACTACATTAACAGAATTCTTTTCTATTTTAATTTGCTAAAATATAATATGGTTCTAGTAATGAAAGACTCTCCTGTATGGATATTAGCATTTCTATTCTTGCATCTAAATTCTCAAATGCCGAATTTCATGAGACATTCATATTTATAAGAATTCATTACAGGTAATGAATGACCAGGGAAAGCTATGCTAATTGCAAAAAATCAGATAATTCAGATAAAAATTTGTGAATGATGGGTAAAATCTATTGCATATTCCATATAGTCAAAAGGTTTGTCATTGATATGAATTCTCTGGTGTTGAGTTAATTGTGAACCACGAGTAAAGGCCTTGCCACATTCCTTACACTGATACGGTTTTTCACCAGTATGAATTCGCTGATGCCGAGAAAGATGTGAGCTCTGAGTGAAGGCCTTTCTACATTCTTTGCATTCATAAGGCTTCTCACCAGTGTGGATTCTCTGATGTAAAGTAAGTTGGGAACCATGACTAAAGGCCTTCCCACATTCCTTGCATTCATATGGTTTTTCTCCAGTGTGAGTGCGCTGATGTTGAGTAAGCTGTGAACCACGAATAAAGGCCTTCCCACATTCCTTACACTGATATGGTTTTTCACCAGTATGGATTCTCTGATGTTGTATAAGCAGTAAACCACGAGCAAAAGCCTTCCCACATTCATTACACACATAGGGTTTCTCACCAGTATGAAGTCTCTGATGTTGAGAAAGATGTGAACTCTGAGTAAAGGCCATTCTGCATTCTTTACATTCATAAGGTTTCTCACCAGTGTGGATTCTTTGATGTTGTGTAAGCTGTGAGCCACGAATAAAAGACTTTCCACATTCCTTACACTCATAAGGTTTCTCACCAGTGTGGATTCTTTCATGTTGGGTAAGTTCTGAGCCCCGACTAAAGTTTTTTCCACACTCTTTACATTCATAGGGTTTCTCACCAGTGTGAATCCTTTGATGTCGGGTAAGGAGTGAGCCACGATTAAAGGCCTTCCCACATTCCTTACACTGATAGGGTTTCTCACCAGTGTGGATTCTCTGATGTTGAGTAAGTTGTGAGCCATGACTAAAGGTCTTCCCACATTCCTTACATTCATAGGGCTTTTCATTAGTATGAATCCTCTGATGTTGAGTAAGTTGGGAACCACGGATAAAGGCTTTCCCACATTCTTCACATTTATAGGGTTTCTCACCAGTATGAATTCTTTGATGTTGCATAAGCAGTGAACCTCGAATAAAGGCCTTCCCACATTCCTTACATTCATATGGCTTTTCTCCATTATGAATTTTCTGATGTTGAGAAAGCTGTGAACCACAAATAAAAGCCTTCCCACATTCCTTACATTCATAGGGTTTCTCACCAGTATGAATTCTTCTATGGAGAATAAGCTGTGAAAGCTGAGTAAAGACCTTCCTACATTCTTTACATTCATAAAGCTTCTCACCAGTATGAAGCCTCTGGTGCAGAGTAAGTTGTGAGTTCTGAGTAAAAGCCTTTCCACACTCTTTACATTTGTAAGGTTTCTCACCAGTGTGGACCTTTTGGTGTCGGGTGAGTTGTGAGCTTCGAATAAAGGCTTTCCCACATTCTTCACACTTATATGGTTTTTCACCAGTATGAATTCTATGATGTAAAATAAGTTGTGAGCTTTGAGTAAAAGCCTTCCCGCATTCCTTGCACATATAGGGTTTCTCGCCAGTATGAAGTCTCCGATGAAGACTTAGCTGAGAATCACGACTAAAGGATTTCCCACACTGCTTACATTCATAGGGTTTCTCACCAGTGTGAATACTCTGATGTTGCGTGAGGTGTGAAGCTCTTCTGAAGGCTTTCCCACATTCCTTACATGCATAGGGCTTCTCTATAGAATAACATATTGGATGTGGAGATAAATAAGTATGTTGGTTGTAAATGGACATTCTGTCATATGTAATCATCCCTTTCCTGAAATATTCCTTCTGATTTTCTCATTGCTTCTTTGTCTTTGACTTCCAAATATCCTCTAGAATTGGTCTCAGGCTCAGTTTTCAAGCCTGCCACTCATTTCCCATTGAGATAATTCTGATTTGTTAGTGTGATTTTTTGGAGATAACTCCTTATTTGAACACCTTGAAGGCAAGTCTGAAAGATAAGACAACAGGAAACAATCTCAGGGCAATAGAAATTCTATAGAAAAAAATATAAAAGGAAAATAATACCCATAAGAACAAGTATATGTTAAATTTTTCAAATATTGCTGACCATGTGTCATTCAAAGTAGTGTCTACATTTCACATCAAAGTCTACTATACACAGTTTCATTAAAATAATACCATTTTCTATTCTATAATATTCTGTTCTCTCCCCTGCACCTCAAATAGACATAGTCAAAAGCTACTAAAATGATTTTTTGGTGTTGTTACTAGAATTTGAAAAAAAATTAGCTTAGGCACCAGGTACTGTGCTATAGTCTTAGAACTTAGGAAGTAGAGAAAGGAGAACTGTGAGTTTGAGACTAGTCTGGGCTACATAGAGGGATCCTGTCTCAAAAAACAAAACAAGCAATATATATGCAAATTGGCTGAGAATGATCTCATACATTAATTTATAATATGGGCACCTGGGTGTGATAAAAGATTAAAAAAATGTCAAAATTAGTGATTCTTGGTGATACTCTCTTGACAGACCCAAACCAACCCTTGCATGTGAACTATCCTTTCACTGAGCATCTCTCTATTAATCCCCATTCTTAAATCTATGCTGAAATCTCTTCCTAATAAACTTTAACTGATTTTAAAAAAAATCAATGGTTCTCATATTTTGGTGGTGATCAAAATCATGTAAAGTATTTGTTGAAATTACAGATGTCTAAGTATATACCAAATTAACTGAATCTGAATCTAGTGAATCAGAAAAAGAACAGAGATCTATAGTTTTAATATTTTCCACAAACTAATTTATATTTAATGATGATTTTCTTTCCCTGCTTAAAATTTTTAATAGCTTCTAAATTAGAGTAAAATCCAAACTCACAAAGTTCTCCATGGTTTGGCTGAATCTTCTCAGCTTTGATCACTTTCTGTCGAACATACTAGTTCCTTTTCATCTCTGAAAATGCCCCCAAGGTCTTTTCCAGCTTATAGTTAACAAAAACCTATTGAATCTCATGACTGCTCTTTAGGAAAGTCATATAAACCAACTCTTATCTTCAAGTCAACTTAATTATCTGTTCCTAAATCTAATTCTGGTCAGATACGGTGGTACACACCTTTAATCCAAGCACTTGAGAGGCAGAAGCAGGCAGATGTCTGTGAGTCTGAGGCCAATCTACATATGGTGTTCCAGTTCAACCAGGGCAACACAGTGAGACCCCATCTTTAAAAAAAATCTTAATAATCCATTCCTGTCCACTTAGAACAGTATTCCTGATTAAAAACAATTGTACAAATTGTTTTTTAAAAAAACACATAAATGAAAGTGAGAACACTGAAAGTAAAAATTGGAGGGCTGGGCTGGAGAGATAGCTCAGCGGTTAAGAGCATTGACTGCTCTTGCAGAGGACCTGGGTTCGATTCCCAGCACCCACATGGCGACTATGAACTGTCCTTAACTCCAGTTCCAGGGGAATTCAAAGCCCTCTTCTGACCGCCACAGCATTGCACGACATGGGTGCACTCACATACATGCAGGCAATACACTCATACATGCTGGCTCCAAGAGTTCCGTGTTAAGTATTCTGATGATGGAATGGGAAACTAAACCGGGAAAATCTCTGCCTTTAGCAGAATTATTACGTTACTGAAACAAAATGAAAGTAGTAAGATAGACGACTTCCTCCTATGACTATGATCTTGTTTGGACCTGCATTTGTGACTAATAATGAGGCTTGGTTTCCCCCAAAAGAAAAAGATAGCATGCAATAGAGGCCCTGCTGCCTTTTACAGGAGTTTATGACTTTAACCCTAAAGGAGGAACTATTGAGACTAAAGTCTGGTATAAGGAAAAACTATTTGGCTTAGGGAAACTCCTTCTTGGATAGAAAGATTAGCTAGGCCAGTAAAAAGCTGGTGGTGTATGACCACTGACGAAAAATTGCCT